CTAAATGCCAACTGGGCGAACTGGGCCGCCCAAACCGACCACCCCCCTCAAAAAATTTAGTGAGTCAAGCGGAAATCTATCACTACGCAACTAAACACCTAAAAAAAGCTAAGGGGATGGATGGGAGCCACCAACATAAGACATGGCATAAATCTCGATCCTCTCTCGGGCAAAAATGAGACTGTGAGTCCAAGTTAGGCCCCAAGGCAACAGATTCCATGATTTCTCCAGCCTACGTTTTGACCCTCGCTTCGAAGCCCTGGCTCAGGGTCCTTCCAGTGGTAGGGTGGAGTCAGCCAAACCCCTGAAGCTGGCCCGCCATGACAGTGCCGGCATGGCTTCATCAGCCTCTGGCCCACGGAGGCTTCTTCACGGGCCTGGTCATCGCCCTGGACGAGTTGACGGGTGACTTCGTCCAGGTGGAGATCCAGCCTGCTGGCATTTTGGCGTATGCCCCGGCTGCGCTTTTTGCACCACGGCAGACCGCGACCCTCTACGACTTCCACGTGCGCCAGTCATCAGATGGCAACATGTGGCTCACGCACCAGGCCTGCTCTGCATGGTTCGTCCATGAACCCACGACGCTCCACACCTATAGGTACATGAAAGAGATCTGCGCTGGCATGGGAGGCATTGGCATAGGTGCCGCCCTGGCGGGCATCACGCCCATCGCCCACCTCGAGATCAACCCCTACAGCTGCCAAGCCCTCATCAAGAACGGCGCTAGCAACGTCATTCAAGGTGACGTTCACAAGCCCGCGGACGTTGCCAAACTTCATGGAGCTGGACCTCTACGAAGGGCCATCATTAGTGCTGGCTTTCCTTGCCAACCATACTCAGCTCAAGGCGACAAGAAGGGAGATCGCGATCCTCGAAGCTGGACCTTTTTGGCCACTCTTCGAGCTGCCTGGCTCATGCAGGCCCCAGCATTGCTACTTGAATGTGTCCCTGCAGTACAAGGACATCCCTTCATCCGGGAGAACCTCAACGTGTTTGCGGACCTCATGGGCTTCCAGGTCAAGACGCTCACTCTGGCGTTGCAAGATCAATGGCCATGCCGCAGAGATCGCTGGTGGGCACTGCTTGCCCCGAGGGAATTTGACCTTACCCAGCTGGTGCCCTGGGTCAAAGACGAGCACTACAGCACCATCGGTCACATCATTCCGGAGTGGCCAATTTGGGAACGACAGGATGAAGAAGCACTTCAACTCAGCGAAGAAGAACTTCAGTACTACGACGACCCATCCTTTGGTACTGAAACTCGCCTGCTCCAGCAGACCGGCATCTGCCCTACGCTGCTCCATTCCTACGGCAACGTCCTCCAACGATGCCCTTGTGGATGCCGACAAGCGGCCTTTCATCCTGATCGCCTTCAACGTGGTGGGGTTCGCGGATGCTACATCATCTCCTCAGTCACCGGCAAGCCGAGATTCCTTCACACGGCGGAGGCGTCCTTCTTGTGCACGGTGCCCATCCAATACCAGTTCCCTGGTGACGCTCGTGACGGCCTGTGCCTGGTAGGCCAGATCGCTGCCCCTTTGCAAGCTCAATGGATGTGCCTTCATCTAGTCCGAGCAGTTCAACTGCACTATGATTGGGTGCCTCTGTGCATCCCTCAGGATCACATCAAGAAGACCAAGCTTGACCTTCTTTGGCAGCGCTATCACCTCTGGACTACCGAGAGTTCACATGCCACTCGACATATCTGGATCAAGGACCAATGGGGCAACAACCTGCACATCCTACGTGAAGGCCAACAGGACGTCGCTGACCTGCTGCGAGCTGAAGCTCGCCTTGCAGATCCTCATGCGCACTACCAGCTCTGGGATGGATCTCGTCGCGTCCCACATGATGCAGTCCTACAAGATCAAGGGCAACATGGACCGTACACCCTCATCGTCAACAGCCCCACCACCGTCCCCGACGATGATCGCGAGGTCGAAATCATCTTCTACACCAACACCACCGTCACCTCGGCCACACTACCACTCGGCACCTACTTGTTTCAGGCCTGTGCCGCTGGGCACATCTCACCCACAGACACCCCACCAATCGACCTGCAGGGACACGCCATCCCGCTCGACACCCGGCTCTGGTGCAACACCACAGTCATCTGCAGGCAACATTTCGCCGGAGCAGGAGATTCAGATGACGGCCTCAACGACCAACAGATCTACTCGCAACTCGAACGCCTCGCTCATCTCCATGGCGAACTTGGAGGAGATCATTTCCAATGCCCATCACCACTGCTTGTACCACATCCACTGCCAGCAGATCAGACGCTCGGCCCAGCCGCAGCACTTCAACTCCAACACTTCAGCCCCACTACACCAACCACCATCATTTTTGCTTACAACGGGCACTGGGCCCTCCTCACAACCACTCCAACCACTGACGGCTTCTCAGCCACTCTCTACGACGGCATGCCTGAACCCTCTCTTGAAGGGGGTCATTTCCTTGCGCGCTGGCTATCCGCCTGCTGGTCCACTCCATGCACCAGCATCCACGTCACTGCCATTTACCCCCAGCACGACGACCACTCTTGCGGCACCATCGCACTTGCACACCTCGGCTACACCCTTGACCTTTGGTCGAATCTACATCCCCTTGACATCACCGCCTGGCATCGGCGAGTTCGTGATGGTCATCCATCCACCACTTACCTACACATTGCACGCGGCCCACATTCTGATGACGACACCTCTGGCCGACTTGCCACCCTGCTCGCCGAGAAAGGTGTGCCCCAAGATCGCACCACAGAACGTGCAGCCCAAGCCATCAAAAAGCTCGGCATCAAGCACATCTCCGAGGCTCTACACAACAAAAACGCCTGGAGCGTTTTAAAAGCCCTTGGATCACAACCAGCCAACTCCTTTCAGTGGATCAAACCAGATGAGCTAGCGCTCAAAATCCAGCAGCGAGCCGCATCCAACTACGGCATCAGCACGTCCAACAAGAAAAAGCACAAGGACAAGGCGAACATCGCCAAAGAGCCCAAACATGACGCTCAAATCAACCCGGCCGACCTCCAGCTCGTCCCCGGCACCTTTGTCGGGGAAGACGGCATTCCAGTTGAGTCCATCCCAATGCACTCTGTGGGCAAGGGCAAGACTGGCATCGCCTTTGCCACTGTACACCAAATGCTCCCTTATCTGCAAGCTGGCGAACAGCTCAGCACAGGACCGCTCGCAGTGCTTACCACAACAACCATTCCACCAGCACTTCGCGGCAACCTCCACACCGAGGACCTCATGTACCCAGCCATGCACTCGAACACCCAAGAGCCAGTACTCATTCAAGGCAGCCTCACACAATTGGGCAAAACTGCCGTCACCAGACCCACACTTCGCTCCACACCCGACATCGCCCCAATCACTACCAGCACAGTCAAATTTGCCGTCTACCAGGATCTCTGGCAAGGCGACTGGTCCACCTTCATTGATGGACCCATGAAGCAGGTAATGCAGGCCTTTCCACTACTCACAATGCGCCGCACCTCGGCATGCGGTGACTCCTGTCAGAAGTTCCATCCTCCAGTCGATGATGACCACATCGACAATGTCGTCCTTGACATCTGGGGCAGGCAGTGGGTCAGCAACTCAGGTGCCCGCACCGACAAAGCCAGAGCCGTCTGTTGGACCGCACTCATCCGAACACCACAACTTGCGCTGCCCAACCTGCTCACTCTCTCGGGCACCAATGGCCTCTTCATCGACCCCCGCGACCCAACTGGCCGACTCCCGGATGAGAACTACGGAGTGGTTTGGCTATCTGGCGCCACATGGCAAACCGCCCACCACAAGCACCGCACTACTGAGGGCTCCCTTTCCATTGTTCGACTCAACGACCGCTATGGCCTGCGATTCCACGCGGCACGGCTACCGGAGGCCCACAAGGAGCTTAAGCCGGATGAACCTTATCTACCAGTCAAGGTCACGGACATCTACAAGCTCTTTCCTTTGCCACATGGCACTCAGCGCCAGGGCCTCATCAAGTCCCTTGCTGCATGGAAATGGCGAGCCAAACCATTGCAACCGTGCAAGGGCGACCACAATGGCATCGGATGGGAAATTGGCTCCCAAGACCCTCCGCCAAACAGCATCCTGCAGGGAGCACATGGTGACGTCATGGTCACTAAGCTACGCACTGTGCGGCCTGAAGCGTCCAACTCCACACTTGTTGCCTTTGACCGCACCCAGCAGTACCTTCACGGCAACCAAGACAAGCCTTCTAGCTCTGCCTCCAGCGACCCCTGGCAGTCAGGACATGACCCGTGGGCCACATGGTTCAACCAGCACCCGCAAGAAGGCAAGGTCCCAGCTGCACCATCTGCAGCCGATCGCCTACAACAAGCCGAGGAACGCATCAAAGCCGACCTTCACGCCACACTCCAGAAACAGATCGATGCTCAGTGGCGCACCTGGGATGAAGACCAGGACATGGACACTGAGGACACTGGCCGCTTCGAATCCCGCTTCAGGCAGCTCGAGACCAACGTCGCCGAGCTACAGCGGCAGAACACCAAATTCGAACACTGGTTCACCGGGCGGCGGAGGCCAATCAGGCCACCAACATGCAGATCGAATCCGTCGCCAAGCAGGTTCACTCCCATCAGGCCGAGCTCACCACGCTGAACAAGAATGTCAACGAACACAACGCAGAGCTTCGCCGGGAGATGTCCAATGGCTTCAGCAACATCGAGGCATTGCTCTCCAAGAAACACAGAGCCGAGTGACTATCTCACCCTGGACCCAACGAGCCAGCACGTTGGGTGCCAAACCGGCCAACCGCCCGATGCTGGCCTATCAACCTGCTCTTCACATGGTGGCTGCTTATATGCAGCCTCATCCATCCTGCGCATGGAGGAAGTGCCCCCGGGACACCTCCATCAACCAGTTCGCATTTCATGGCATCAGACCATGACTCTATGGCACCTCAATTTCGCTCTGGCACGCTCTACAGCCTGTGGGACGCTGCAGTATGCCAGCCTGGATACGAGA